TCTGTCCTGGTTGCAGCCATGGCCGCCGCGTCGCCCCTGTCCCCCGAGGAGCTGCTGCTGCCGAAGGGCGGCCCGGGCCAGGCGGAGGAGGAGCTGGAGGACGACGACGAGGTACCGGGCCGCCGGGTGGCGGGGCAGGGAGCAGGGGCAGCGTAGCCGTCCGCGGGCTCCATGTGCGAGGCTGGGGTGACCCCGGGCGTGGGGGGCGCAGGGCAGGGGTCGTTCCCAGCGGCATCTCACGGGTCTGACTCCGAGCCTCTCCTCCCCCAGCTGGACGAGACCCTGAGCGAGCGGCTCTGGGGCCTGACCGAGATGTTCCCGGAGAGCGTCCGGACCGCGGCGGGAGCTACCTTCGATTTGTCCCTCTCTGTGGCCCAGAGACTGTACCGGTGAGAAGGCGGCGCCGGGGGCGTGGCTGGGTCTGGCTGTCCCGGGCGGGGGCGGGTTGTCGGGGCCGCGTGGCTTTTTTCAGGTCACCAATCAGATACCGCGCTGCCGGTGCTGCGTTCTCTCCCCCTGCCACGGGTTGTTGGGTTTGTGTGCGAGCGTCAGTGGGCAGCGCAGATTGTGCTGAAGGTGTGTGTAGTAACGCTACACATCCTGCTAAAGCATACAGCAGAGTATGGGAGCCGGGACTGGAACAGCAAAGGCGACTACAGATTAGGTTCAGGTGCTTTGGCAGAGCTACGTGGAGTGTGCAAGACTGGAATATCAAAAATTAGTCCAAATCAGGATTGAGGTACCCAGGCAGAGCAGTATGGGAGTTTCTCTTGGTCCTCCCTTTGTAGAGGCAGAAGGGGAACAGGGGTCTGTCCCATATAAAAGAGAAGGGAAATCAAGATTTTTCTGTCATGATTATTTTTTCTCTCTAGATTCTCCAGGGCAGCTCTGTGGATTGGGAGTACCTCCTTCATGATCCTCGTTCTTCCTGTTGTATTTGAAACTGAGAAACTGCAGATGGAGCAACAGCAGCAGCTGCAGCAGCGACAGGTGATCCTGAAACCTCAAGACCCTTTCTCCATTGCAGTCCATGAACACAGGCTAATACTCTTTGGTTGCCTTGCAACATAGAGATTAGCAGACGATGATGGGGTTTTGGGGGCTTCATAAACCTTGTCTTGCCTGAGTCACCAGGATTCCCCCCCTTCTTTTTCTAATACCAGCAGTTTCAAACTCATTTAGCAGAGAGGAGAGGGCTTGATTTCATGTTCAATTATGATCCGGGGGCCAGGGCATAAATTCAGGATGGCATATGATCCTCAATCCACAGCACAAATCCCACTGATGTCAGTGGGAGGTTCACACAGAGATCAAAGGGGCAATACAGCCTTTATGTAGTAACTAAAGTTTTTATTCATTTTTTTATTCCTAGCAACTCTCTCCCCTCAAGGCTGCACTCGCACCCACTACCCCATTCCATCTGCTAGAGTTATCAGTTAATGCTGACGTTGGCATGTCATCACTGGATTTTTACAGTGGCTACTTCAATCAGATTAAAAGGGGGAAGGGGAATTCATCACTCTTACTCATTGTTCCAAGCTCTCTGCAGATTCAGGCAGCTGACATATTTAGTTCTTATGTGGAAGGTGCTCTTTGCAGCAGTGAGGGCTAAAAGCTGATTTGGGCTGGGGGCAATGTTCCCCCTCATTTTTTACACCTATGTACGGAATGAATTTTGTTATGTGCACCAATACAGAGGTGATGTATGGCGGAGGTGGGTCCGAGGAGTTCGGCATGTGGGAGGAGGCTTAGGGGTGGAGGGGCAAGGGCTCTGGCTGGAGATGTGGGCTCTGGAGTGGAGCCAGGGATGAGGCGTTTGGGGTGCAGGCTGCCCTTGGGCTGTGGTGGAGAGAGAGGACTCCCCCAGGCCTCTCTTGCCACAGCAGCCCGGGGCTGGGCAAGAGAGCCTTTCCCCGCTGCATGCCTGCGTAGACCTTGACAGCCTGCTGCATAGCTGCACAGCTTAGAGGGAACTTAGGCTGGGGTGTGGGGAAAGAGCTCTTAAATCAGTGGTGGGCAAACTTTGGCCCTTCAGGGTAATCCACTGGCAGGCCACGAGACTATTTACATTGACCGTCCACAGGCCCAGCAGCCCGCAGCTCCCAGTGGCTGCGGTTCGCCGTTCCCGGACAATGGGAGCTACGGGAAGCGGCGTGGGGCCACAGGGACGCACTGGCCGCCGCTTCCCACAGCTCCTATTGGCCAGGAACTGTGAGCAGCCGTATCTGCGGACGGTCAATGTAAACACTGTCTCGTGGTCCGCTAGCGGATTACCCTGATGGGCTGCATGCGGCCTGTAGGTTGCCCACCACTTGTTTAGATTCTGCACAACCTGAGTATATCATGCAGCCATCAAATACATCATAGGCCTGATACAGCTCATGGGCCACATGTTTGATACCCTTGACTAAGAGTACTAGGGTGAGATGACTTCTTTTCCCTTTGCCATCTGAATAAGTCTACAGCAGTTAAGTTAGCTGTCATAGCAGAGGGGGAATGGTATTGCAAAGTGACAGGAGTATTGCACTCTCAGCCCTGCAGAGTGAGTTAAAAACATAAGAACAGCCATACTGGGCCAGACCAATGGTCCATCTAGCCCAGTATCCTGTCTTCCGACAGTGGCCAATGCCAAATGCTTTGGAGGGAATAAACAGAACAAGGCAATTGAGTGATCCATTCCCCGTTGTCCCAATTATACTTTTGCCCTTCACAACATCCCCTGGCAACAATTTCCACAGATTGACTGTGTGTTGTGTGAAGTACTTCCTTTTGTTTTAAACCTGCTGCCTATTAATTGCATTGGGTGACCACTGATTTTGGGGTTATGCAAAGTGGTAAATAACACTTTCTCATTCATTTTCGCCTCACCGTTTATGATTTTATAGACCTCTATTGTATCTCCCCTTAGTTGTCTCTTTTCCGAGCTGAATAGTCCCAATCTTTTTAATCTCTCCACATAACATTGTTAGCTTTTTTTGTCTGCTGCTGCACCCATTGAGTGCATGTTTTCAGAGAACTATCCATGACTCCAAGATCTTTCTTGAATGGTAACAGCTAATTTAGTCCCCATCATTTTGTATGTATAGTTGAGATTGTTTTCCAATATGCATTACTTTGCATTTATCAACACTGAATTTCATCTACCATTTTGTTGCCCAGTCACAAATGTGGAGCTCTTATTATTGGAGGTGCTAAACCTCCTCCTTACTGGAACTCTGGGGGCAGGGAGGGAGGGGTGCTATACTGTTTTCAGTCTTTATAGTTAATCTGAATAGTTTTTTTTTAACCCAGTATCATCTCTTGCAGATTCTCTTAGGACCCACTACAGGGCTGTCTGGCAGTATGCCAGGGGCCCTGCCTCCACTTTCTGGAAAGATCTAACTTCCAAAAGCTGCTTCAGATCCATATCACATGGAGAGACCTCAACATTGATTCATTTGAACTGTTGATTTGTCAGGGTGGGCATTTCCCCCCCTTTTTTTTTTTAAACTTTGGGACACTGACCTATCCATAATGGGGCAAAATCCCCTCTCCTGGACCTTTTTTTTGATGGGCTTCTCCCTGTAGCTTCCCCTTCAGAGGTCACAAGTTTTTCCTTTTATCCAATCAGTCCATGCAGTGAGCAGTTAGAGACTTTAAAATGAAAAGCTCCTGCTGTGGACTCCTTACCTTGGGCCACAAGTTAGGTTCTGGCCAGTTTGTTCAGTAAATTCTGCAATCAAAAGAAAATCCTGTATTTCTCCTGGCTAAATCAAGGCCAGAAGAGGCCACCGATAGAAAGGAAGGCGTGTATTTACCAAGAGGCAGAGTGGATCACAAAGGGTAGTAAGTTTCATCTGAGCCCTGTGGGGAAAACTTGTTTTCAAATATTTTCCTTGCAATTTCTTTTGTTGGAGGAGGAAAGGGGAGCACATTTGGTTAAAGACTGTGCTGATTCTGTTTGCATCATAAATCAACTACATTTTGGAAATCAGCTGTATACTTTTTTGTATTAAGTATTAAATAAATTCAACCCAAACATGGTGTGTTTAGTAGACATCCCTTGTCCCCCCAGATACTAATGGAAAATTAGAGTAGATGTTGCAGCTTTGCACCCAGATGGGTGGTTATCCTCTAGTTTTATGTAAACTGTTAGCTGTGATGGGGTGGGAGATGAGATGGTTCCACCTTAAGACAGCTTAGATAGGTAAGAAATTTTGGATAACTTAGCAATGTCTCAGGAGTGGTATCCTAGGGTTACCTATAGTCAACTAGATGGTTCCGGATCAGAGTTCAGAAGCGGTTTGATGAAGGTAGTTTCTCCCAAGAAGGCCACAACTTCATAACAAAGAACAATTTATTTTTTCCTTTACATACCATGTTACAGAACAATTCAGCTGAACACACAGAAGTGACAGGACACTTTATATGGAGATTTTTCCATTTTTAATATTTGGTTAAACAAAATACATCTCTGTAAACAAACCCAAGACAAGGCTATAACAAAACCAAACAAGCAAGAAAACAAACATGGGCTTCCCCACTCCTAAGCAGTGGGATTAGTCTGTTTCCCCTCCCTCTGTCACCACAGCACTATTCCCCAGGGATGTGATCATACAGTTTCCCTTTTCCTGAGCAGCTGGATCACACCCTTTCCCTGGGGGTTAAGCAGTGACATTAGATACAAATATAGGGAGGCAGCCCTACAATGTTTTTAAAACATCTTTGCATATTGTGCACTGATCCATTGGCTTGCGGCTTCCATGCAAACAGGGTCTCTCCAAAGTGCGATTTTAATCAGCATAGAAAATTCTTTTGCTGTTGATTTTTTTCCCTTCCCTTTTAGAAAATGGCTTCAAGTCATAAGCAGAATTCCTGCTTGTGATGTGTTTAAAAATTCTGCCAGCTGGTTTTGGTCACTGGAATGTGGTGGTAAGAAGGAAGTAGGGCTCTTGTAGAAATAGAAACACTGGGTTTGGACTGTAGAACGTGCAGAAGAGCCACTGCCAACATGTTGTCAGGAGGCTGCAGCATGGTGCCTGTAGGATGTCCAGGGTTGACCACACCACCACTCTTGTCCTGTTGCCACATGGCCTCTGTTTTCTGTTGCAAAGGGAAGGCTTTGGTGGTTTGTAAGTTTAGCTTCAGACACTGGCTTACCCAGGGTGGTTTCCATCACTGTTCTACACTTGCTGTTATAACTGGGAGGACAGCATGTGCATTAGGAAATGAGACAAACAGTTGTAACATATCTTGACCAGGAAGAGTCAATAGTAGTGTGAAATTCATCCCAAACTCACCCTTTCCTCTTTCTGCTGCGGAAGGAATGATTAAACTACACCCAGCACCTGGTGGCATAGGAAAAAACACTGAGTGAAAGAATCCTACTGGAGTCTCCCTGTCTCTTAGTCACTTTTCTCTGCAGGAGGGAACAGAGGGTGAGGTGATTCAGCAGTCAAGGGAATATCTGTCAGCCAAAACCAAAGTACTTGGTTCAGCTACCATGCTAGACAATCTGCCTTTACCATCAGAAAGACTCTCTCATGTACCCTGTACGCATCTCTCCCAGTAACTGCTGATGATGATAGGAGGCAGAGAAATCTAGAATTGCAATGCCTCTCTTTGATTTTGCTTTGCGTAACTCCTAGTTTATTTGTAGAAGAGTTTCTCCACCCTCTTTCTTCCTCTCTCATGGCCATGGCTAGTCTTCCACAGAGGAGGAAAATAAGAGGAAATAACTCCCTCCTTCCTCTTAAACACCTTCAGTTTTATTCCCTTCTCTGCAATCAGCTCCTGAACTAACAAGTGCACATACAGGAACAATTAAGATGTTATATACCGCACCAATGAAAACCCCCTACAAGCCTCCGGTGGCCTCTCTCACTCCAGATGTGATGCTTCTGAACCAGCCTAAACTTGCTACCACTTCTACTCCCTAATCAGCCTGCCCTGCACTATCCAAAGAAGCATCTAAGCCATCTGCATAACAAAAATCCCTAAAAACATTAGAGAAGAATCCCCCAACCTACCCCAAGAGTTTCTTTAAAGATAGGTTGTCCCTAACCCTTGGCACAAACCCTCACTAAACAGGAGATTCTACAGAGCACCATACCATTGCTAGTGTTCGACAGTTTCCTGAGAGTCCCCCATGATTTGCAAATGTATCCAGCATAGTTTGCTTTGGGGGTAGAGACTGTTTCAGAGAGGAGGCAGCATGCTTGACACCTTCCATCCAAAGAAGTTTTGTTAAGTCTGGAGGGAGTAGTGTCCAACCACAATTAGTCTTTAAGATATTGGGGTATGGGGAAGAATCAGCAGAGTGTTCCAAACACCTTATCCCCAAAGCCTATTTTAAAGAGCACTATGCAAGGTAATCAGTTTAAAAGCATAGAGCTCACTCTCCTCTCCTCATTAAAAAGTGACTGGCTTCCTTCCTCATCCATTCCGGCCCCCACAATACCCTATGCCACTGTCCTATTGCACCATCAATACAGAAAGAAAAGAGACCAATGAAAGGAAGTTCCAGAGGAAAAGAGCTAGGGCACCCATTATCCAGGTCAAAGGACATCAGGGGGTTGTGGGGGGAGGGACAGGAGCTGTAGTGAGAAAGGACAGGGCAAATCCGGGTCACATGTCAGCTCTCCAGCTCTGATGTGCTTCCACCTCCTCTGGCACCACCAGCAGAAGTTCACAGTTCTTTCCTCTCAGCTGGTGTTTCAAAAATTTCCTGTGGAAATGGGAAGAAGGGCAAAAGTGAGGTGAAACAACAAAATCCAGAATAAGTAGTAGTGGCTCTGCAAAGCCCTTTAGGAGTAAAGACTTATTAAATAAGCAGATGTGACAAGATACGTAGGAAGATAATAGGTGAAGAGGTCATTTTTTACCATCACTTTTCTTACAAGTGCATATTAAAATTCTAACTAGATCCATACACCACCTGGCAGGTTATTTCAGAACTACATGGGCATAGTTAACTTCATTATTAGAGTTTATACAAAAAAATCTTGCCTGTTCTCCAAGGACACACGCACCTATTCTTGTGAATTGGCAAGATGTAGTGCGACTGAAACAAACAAACTGACTTCTTTAAGTTTCAGAGATCAGCAATCTCATCAATTTCAAAGCACTCCCCCCCCCCCCCCCCCAAGGTGGGGTGACTGGGAGGAAACAGAAGGATGACATGGTAAACCTAGTGACACAGAATGATTACTGGCAGCCTATGAACTGGGATCTGATGCATTTTTTCAGCCTCTCTGACTCAGTGATTTATCCAATAGCAAAGATAGGACAAATAATATGAAAATAAAAATTTTAAATTTCCCTTATATATTTTGCCAAAAAAGTTCCCAAAATGTTATACACAGGAATCATTCACTTAATGCTGAAATGCAACAGTTTTGAGACTGAAACATTAACCATTCCAAACCAGCAGTATTAAGCAGCAATCATAGGAGTGAATTAATTCTCTACTGAAAGTTACACACATGGAATTTTAGGTTGTCAGGACGTCATTCTATTCACTAATTCTTGATTGGCACGACCAGCTCTACAGACATTGCTAGAGCACAGTTCCCCGAACTAGAATCAATTTATCTGGGGCATCAAGGCTAATCATTATGGTTTTCAGCATGTGAGGAGCAAATGCCACAAATCTTCGTTGACCATGAACGGTAAGAACCACAATTTTACACTCTAATGTGAAAGACATGGAAAATTTAGCACAAGCACAGAAGTGCCACCTGGATCTCAGAAAGAACAGGAAAGTGGGCAGAGGCTCATTAGCCATTGTAGAAATGGTTTAAGGAAAAAAGCTGCATTTTTCAAATTAAATCCTCTCTCTGTTGGACACACACAATAACTGACTATCAGTGGAACCCTATCAAGTGCTCCCCATCTAAAGAAACATGATAGAGCATGGTGGGTCGGTCCATTACAGGTGTCACCACAAATTAACCATCTGGGTTAATCTACAATCATCATGGTGACAAAACCAGCAGCCCTAGGAAGGAAGCCCAGGCTCTCCTGAACTTTAAAGTCTCCTATTAGCTAAATTGTTTTCTTAGCTTCACAGAAATGAGACACATGGGGTAAGATCCAGGAGGGGCATATGAATTTCATTCCCATTCTTCAGTCTTTGCTATCAGAATTCATGAACTGTATTGTACCAGATACTAGGTGTTAAAGGCAGATGCTTAATTTGTAATAGGGCTAGGAGTAGGGGATTTTGATGGAAGGAGACTCACCTGAGCTCACTTTCACCTCCAATCCACTCTGGCATCTTGAGTTTGGAGTCGAGATTGTAGTAGGTGCCTCCCACCTCCCGGACGCAGATCCAGTGCTGTCGTTTAAGGGGGAGCTTCAGGGGACCCCAGCAGAGGCTGGAGGGCAGATTCATGATGAAGCCCATCACATTAGAGAGGGCAATGACATTAACATCCCTGGGCAAGCAGAGAGAGCAGAGATGGTATTCAGTTATTTCTCCTACTTCCTCGGTTATAAACCCTAGCACAAGGCAGCTATCTCCCAAACTATAGCAATTAAAAGCTAGTTCTCAGTACCTGCGCTTGTCCCACCAAACTGCTTCATAGCCTTTGGTCTGAAGCGCTGCCATGATGACATTCACATCGTAGTTCCCGTTTCCCAGCATGCTCTTCTTGTGTGGTGTCACCATGGTGTTGGGAGACAGTCTGTGAACACAAAGTGAAAGAATATTGTTGCAGGAGTTCATTGTATCCATCTCCCAGGCTCACACATCCATATTCTAGTTAGAAGTGGCACTGGTTGTTGTACCTGTATCCCATGCAGTTTTAATACAAAGTTCAGTGAAAGGTGAGGATTCAATGGGAAGGTTGTGCAATCCAATTTATTATACATCCTCACAGTTCAAAATCCCAATCGGACAACTGGCAGAGCCTGGCATCTTCAACCTGAACTAGTCTGTTCTCTCTTACCCAGCAGGCAGAGAAATTGACAAGGTATTGGTTCAGCCCTGACTAAAAAGGAAAAGGGTAATGTCATTTAGATGGGAAGCCTCCAAAGAGTACTGGAATTGACTGGGTCTGACCCTACTAAACTCATAAGAAAGGATGAGCTCACAGCACCCCAGAGTGGTTTGGCTGCTGGTATGTTTTCATGTTTGCCAAGGAAGAAGTACTCATGTATATAAAATCCATCACTGTAGCATCTGGGAACCTATTAAAACAAGCAGTACTACCACTAGATGGACCAACTGTCAATGCTATTACAATAATAGCTCAACAGCTAAGCTTGCTGGTGAGTAAATCTCTCTTCGCTGCCATTTAAACATTCACTCAGAAGCTTGCCTAGACATTATTATTTGTTTGTATTATGACAGCACCGCAACAGCAGCCACAATCAGGATCAGGGTTCCATCATGTTGTGTACTGTGCAGACATATAGGAAGACAGTCTCCCCACCAAAGAGCTTACAATCTCAATAGACAAGGCACAGGGCAAAGGGGGAAGGCATATATCCTACAAGCAGGCCAGTTAGAGTGATGGTTGGCAAATATCCAGTTAATTACATTTTGTTATTGTTCTGTATTTTTTTTTTTAAATATGATTTGCAGGGAGGAGAAGGCAGGAAGGAATTAGGGAAGGGATGGAGGCAGCGAAAGGGAGAGGGGAGGAGTAACTGAGGAGGGCCAATAGCTGAGAAGTGCAGCTAACTGCAGAGGATCCATAAGGAAAAGGGGTGGGAGGGAGTTGGAGTAAGATAGTCAAATCAGCAGAGGTCAGATTGAAGAAATTAGTTCGATGACAACACTAGCATCCAAAGGTTGCTGCTTCCAGTGCTTCTGTGCCTGGCTCCAGCTGGAAAAGTCACCCACATATTAGCTCCATCCCCAGGAGCTCCTGCTCTTCCTCCCACATGGCTGGGGGAGCAGAGATGCCTGCTTGGTTCCTTACACTGTGCCCTGAAGGCTGTCAAACTTTGGTGGACAGCCAGATGGAACAACTTGTGCAGGCTAAGGCTGTCCACTAAAAATACCCTGATGCTAGAGCATTCCACCATAAAGCCCTTGACACCAGGAAGGGAGAGGCAGCTTTTCACATAACCAGGTCCCAGGCCATCAGGGCCTAAGTGGGCAGCATTTTGCACTAACATAAGCTTCTAGGTAGTCTTCAGAGGCAGCCACAGAAGATTATGTTGGCGTAATCCAACCCAAAAGTGATGGGCCTATAAAAGGGAGGGAAGGCTTGAAACAAGGTGTTAATAGGAAAGGCTACTAATACCACTGGTGTGTTTCTGAGCAAGGGTCAAATTACTGCTTCTTTCAACATGGTCAGCATATTACTGTGCCAAAAAGAGAGGCAGCAACACTCACAAGTAATTATGGTCCCAAAATTTCAACTGGCTTTTACTGGTCACACAAAAGCTGCATATCACACGTAGTTGGCCACAACTCTTCCAGGATATCCACTTCCAACACTTAACTGTACTTCTTCAAGAATATTGACTCTGCATATTTACACTCATATGACATGCAGGCTGGTGCTGCTAAGCAGCATGATAATAGAAATAATAGCACGTAGAAGCCCCAATTACAGACCAGAACCCCACTGTGCTAGGCGCTGTACAAACAAAACAAAACACACACAAAAAGAGAGCGAGACCCTGCCCCAGAGAGCTTACATTCTATAAACAGTGCCCACATTTATAAGAGAGCTGTAAGGCTACAACCACTTTTGTTCTTTCCAGAGGAGTAGAATTCAGAGAAGAAAAGGAAAGTTGTATAAATATGTGTAGGTAACACACAAACTGTTACTGGTGAGTAAAATTTCCTCTCTGAGAACTGCCTCTATGTATTCCTACTAGTGTGTGCACCTAGCATGTGGTGTAGAACCCACAGAACGAGAGATCAGCTGAGTTTAATTACACAAGGAATGCAGAGCTGCACTCCCAAAACAGAGCATGCGATCTAGATTCCAAGCTGTACAAATACAGCTGTGTACGTATACATGTAGAATTCGAGGTAGCTGTCCCACAGATTATAAAACGGAATTGTTATGGAAGTATGTCACTGATGTGCAATAGCCTTAATGGAGTAAGCCCCAAGACCGTAAGGTACTGTCATCCTGGCTAATCAGATCTCAGAACACAAACTAGTCCTCTTTGACAGATGTTGTGTGTATATGCAAATAAAAGACTCTTGACATCTAGGGTATGCAATCTAACTTCTTGTGAATAGGAATAAGGTCTGAAGAAGAATACCAGGACATGAGTGGTCTAATCCAGATGGAAGCCTGGTCCCAAATTTTGCTATATATTTGAGATGAATATGTAGGACGCATTTTGTCTCTATGGAATACAACGAAGGGGGGTTCAACTATTAAAGCCTGCAATTCAATAACTTTTCTTGTAGATGTGATTATAGTTACAAAGGCTGTCTTTGGTGACTGGTAAGGACTCAAAGGGCAAGTCATTAGTTTTGTCACTACCAGGTTTAGATCCCATGTTCAGTAAGTTCACTGTTCGGTGCGGATACATTCACCAAACCTCTAGGGAATCTAATGACACAGTGAGATGATTGAAGACAGTAGAACTGTCAACTGAAGCACAGAATGCTGAAGATGGCATGTAGTTCTTCAACCTCTCCTTGCCTTCAATTAAGTTCAGCAAGTAATCCACGATAGATACAATGGAGGCAAAGCATGGAGACAGGTTCTTTTCCACTGCCCATATGCAAAACCTCTTCCACTTCTGAGAAAGATCTTTCAAACACAGAAGCCCAGTCCAATAGAAATGCATCCGTGATTAAGTTCTGTTCCTGTGCTGGAACAAAACCACCAGCACTTTTCATTGCTGACTACTGACAGCTCCACTTCTTGATCAGTATGTTAATTATGGTCCATTTTGAAGACTACTCATGATAGTATTGTAGTCTGATTTAAGATTGGAAAAGAAAATGTGTTACAGTCAATCAAAGAAAGATATATGGGTGAGCCGGATACCATTCTCATGGGACCGCCTGCTGCTTCTCAGAAGAGTAGCTATGGGGAAAAACACTTCCCTGCTCATTGATACAGAACACTGCTATTGTGTTGTCAGCATAGGAGGGCTACACAAACCTTGATCAATGGCAGAAAGGACTTTAGGTCACGTCCCCTGACATGAAGTTTCAGAACATTTATTTACGTGGAGCTTGGCTTCTCACATATTCCAGACTATCAAATTCTGGTAATGGATCTCCAGCCCAAATTAGATTAATCTGAAATGACTACTATGGACAGAGATGGAGAATCAAAGGGGATTCCCTTTAGTATATTGATGGAGTTAAGTGACTTTCAAAGTAGTATTCACAAGCGCTCCCATGAAAATGTAGGAAAAGCATAAAATACTTCAAATTTTATCATAAAATCAAGACTATTGACTGGATTATTTCTTTTCATATTTAAACAAAAAACTCCATATTTAAAAAAGTTATCCAAAATTGCTGCAGGATTTGCACCACAGTGTCACAGATCACAGGGACCTAGCTGCAGAATTTAGATCCAGCTTGCCAGAGTATACAGGACCTTGCCTGTGTGAAAATATAGAGGCAATAATATTTCATTCATAAATGAACACCAAGAATCACTCATTTGATCACAGAATAGCACAGGAAGTAGACATAGGCTCTAACTTGCAGCTGTTTAGAAGTTTTTGGACAGAACTACATCAAATTTTTTTCATTCTGACCCATTTTTCAGTCCTCTCCTACCCTCCCCACTCTCAGGCCAACCACTTGACCACAAGGCAAATGAAGTATTTTGATGGGAATAATTTACCTTTTAAAAAAAACAGGAAGGGAGAAATTTAGGAAACACTATGAAAGAGCATTGGGGAGGGAGAGAATTATGGCTGGCCTATTACATAAGGGCATCTGCAACTGAGTCCTTGCACCCCAAAGTGGCAGCCTGAACAGTATGAGGGACAAGAAATGGTGTGTGGTGGTGGTGGTGATGGTGGGGGCAGGGGGGATAAGGGTTTTTCCATCATTAATACAGGAGATTTGTGTGACAGCAGTGTCAGACTCTGAACAACCTCCCTCTCCCCCTTGACACTCGCACAAAGGGTATTTCAGATACTCATCCCAGAAATAAAGTGCAAAAAGGGAACTAACAATGCCAGTGCAGGGTACTCCCTACCTCTGGAAAATCTCTTGCAGTGTTTCCCGGGTGAAGGCATTGCTGTCCTGGAAGACATTATTGAGGGCATGGAGAGCACACAGCTCCCTACGCTGTTTCTCATGGTAAATACGCAGTGGTGCCAGCTGTGGTGGCTCAGGAGACTCCGATTTGGTTTTGTCACCTTTCCATGGCACGCAACTCATTTTTTCATAGGGTAGTTGTGGGAAGATAGTGAGAAACAGAGGAGTCTGAAGTTTCTCCCCCCCTCTGCAATCAAAACAAGAGCCCACTGATCCCTTCTTTTATAGGCAAATCCTGCTTCCAGCTGGCAAACCCTCTTGTGCTTTTCAGTTTGTTTAGTAATTGCTTGCAAAAATCACGTAGGAATCTGTAACATTTTTTCCCTCCCTCCCTCCTCCCCCACCCCATAAAAAGTTGCTGTTGGGGTATTTCCTTCCCTCTGTCTCCTCCCCAAAAATATCAAAATAAGATTTAAATCCGATTAGCATCAGGATACCAGCTGGAATTTATCACATCGCTCCTTTTCTTCCATCTCCTTTGGTCTGTAGCACCGCTAAAAAGGATCCAGGGCAGGCTGGGAAGAAATGCCCACCCCCAGGAAACCAAACTAGGTAGGATGAGGCCAGTCTCAGAGGCCGTTTGCAGGAGCCTCGGGGGCGTCTCAGCAGCCTTTCTCCATCCCTTTGGGAGTGGCTGTGTCCTGAAAAGCAGATGCCAAGGGCTGGGGAGGGAAGCGGCCTCTCGCAAGGCGTGAGGGCGGGAGCTCCTCGCCAAGTCCTGCCACGCTCCTAAGCAGGGAAGAGAAGCCTCGGTTAGCCCGTCAGAAAAAGCAGTGGCACAAAGCGCATCGGGCCAGGGCAGGTTCCCGTGGGGCTCCCGGCGGGCGGGGGGAGGGGGGAGCCCGCTCGAGGCATTTCTACCCCGATCCCCCCGGAGAGCAGCGGGAGCGGGCAGCCCCCACCCTCTGGTGCCGAGTGCCAGTGCCAGGGCGCCCCCCCCCCAGCGCGGCCCTGAGGCACCGTGTGGCCGGGGAGCGCTCGCCCCGCGCGGGGGGCGGCAGCGGGGCAGGGCCCGTTCCCCCCGGGGGGGCGCTCCCCACATGAGGGCGAAGCCCGAGGAGAGCCGGGGCATGGCGGGACCGGGCGGCTCCCCAGGGCGGGGGCTGGTCCCGCCCGGCGGGGAGATGCAGCGGCCGCGGTGTCCCCCTCCCGGGGAGCCCCCTACTCACCGCCTGCCAGCCCCGACCTCCCCGGATCAACAGCCACCCCCAGGTGTCCCCGCGCACGCGCGCGGCCAACCCGCCCCGCGTAAGGCGCGTGCTCTGGCCCTGCCCCGCACACGCTTACGCAGCCTGAACGCTCAGGGCGCCGTTCCATGCGAGTGATGACGTCATTGCAATCTGCTCGCCTCATGTCCGGCAGCTGTGCCGAGTGCTGACCTGAGTCCCCGCGACCAGGGAGCACGAGCCTGCGCGGTGCTCTGCCAGTGCATAGAGCCTGCAGCCTGGCCATGGGTTAGTCACCCACTGCATCAGCCTGTGTTGCTTGGTGCCCTGCTAGTGTATCGACCCTGCAGGGCACAGTGACTGCAGGCCACAGTGTATGGACTGTACAGGTCGCCGTGGATTACGTACCCCTTGTATTGGCCTGTTACTCTGCAGGGTGCCTTGCCACTGCACAGAGTTTGAGCTGCAGCCCGGGCAGGAGCTGGACTCTCAGCACCACCATTTAACAGCTCCTGTAGCCATGCATGGTGTTTTGGGTTTGCACAGAGACTACAGCCTGTGGATAGCTCAGAGACCCCCTTGCTCTAGCTCCCACAGTCTTCACACTGTTCTGGGATTGCATCCATTGGAAGCCCAAAGCAGGAATATTTTGTGAGGCCCCCCCATACACAATGCCTTAATAAAAAGTGAATAGGGGGCCCCATTTTGCTGTTTGGGGCCTAAGCAATTGCTTAGTCTAATTATGCCTAGTGCCAGCTCTGGGTTGCATAGATACTAGAATCATAGAATATTAGGGTTGGAAGAGACCTCAGGAGGTCATCTAGTCCAATCCCCTGCTCAAAGCAGGACCAACACCAACTAAATCATATTGCAGCTTTCTAACGCTGACCCTTTTTGTTTCCTCCTTTTGCACACTCCCCCCTTCATATGTGATGTAACTAACATGCAATAACAGTAATACTTTCTACTGTGGTGATGAACCCTGAAGAAGAGTGTGAGTAATTTGTTGTTGCTGGGTTGCAGTTTTCTTTATTTTTAAATTAAACCAATGTCTGGAATGTTGCAAGCACAGTTCTGGCAGGGAGCTCATATCTGGATGACATGCTTAACCCTTTGGGAACATCTTAAACTGGCAAATACACAATCTGCATATATGGCTCAGCCCTAACCTGGAGTTACTTCTCTGGGGTGTGACAGAAGTTCAGTTTCCATAGGGATATACCAGATCAGATCCAGTGATTTATCTAGTTCGATATCCTGTTAATGATATTACAATCTGGGAGCATTATAATTCTGTTGGCAAGTTAATGATAGAAGGTAAGGTGGTGTCATTTGATTTGTAAAAATCTACAAAAACATTATTTCAATGGTGTCACCCTCTGCAGCATAACAAAGGGGACTCAATCCCTGCCTTCACCACACATTCTCAGCTCCAGGCCCTCTAGGTGGAGGAAATGTTGATAGTATAATGTTGTTGGAACTGGGTTGAGTTGGGTATCATTTGAAAGCCCTTTCTCCCATGAACACAATGGTACCAAACGTGACAAACCCATGTATTTATACCTGCTCCTGTATTTTCCACTTCATGCATCTGATTAAGTGGGTTCTAGCCCACGAAAGCTTATGCCCAAATAAAATACATGCAGCCCTCACATAATTAAACTGTGACCATCAACTGACAGTACTGTGTTATTAGTTAATGCTCAGAATATGATAGCTGATTGATTTTTTTTAATGTTGCAGATTACTGTGCATGGAAGGAGTGCTTCAACTTGATTTGCCATCATCAGCAAAAAAAGAAAGGTTCTATGGTATTGATTATCAGCTCTGTTTATTACACCAAAAGAGTTGTAATGAGGCACTAGTTATGATGTCCGCATGCAGCCAGAAATTACTGGAATCAATTCACAAATGTATGCACAAAGTTACATAACATATATTACATAACATAATGATAATCCCAAAGTAATTTATTACAAAATCTGTGTTTTTTCTTTGGTCTTGATCATTTTTAGGCATCAATGGAGAGACAAAGATTACTGACTAGTAGCTGAATCTTTGGAGAATACTAGTGCAGAGGACCTGGGGCCATGGTGAGGACCATGGGGCCAGGTGAGGAAGCACAGAATATGTGGGGGATGGACAGAGTGGGGCACATGGGGCTGCTGGAGGGTCATATAGTCTTGTGTTCAGAAAGGCTTGTGAGAGGGACAGATTGGGGCAGGGGCACAGGAGCTACTGAGGTAACAGCCAGGGGCTGAATGGGAGTAGGGGTGCAGGGACACAGGGGAACCAGGAGGTGCAAGGACACATGGGGACAGAAGGGAGAAAGGTGTCTGAGTGGGGGTGCAGGAGGGTAGGAGTGGCTGAGTGGGAATGCAGGGACACATGGGGACAGGGGAAGAGGGGTGGCTGAGTGGGGGTGCAGGGACACATGAGGGAGTGGGGTGCATGGACATATGGGGACGGGAGGCATGCAGGGACACATGGGGACAGGGGCAGATGTGCCTGATTGAATGAGAGAGGCTAGGGGTCAGCCCGGGTCTGTGTGGGGCAGGCTCCCCAACTCCCTAACAATCCCTCCCCCTGCCCCCCAAAAAACTTGTTCCATATTTCTCCCACCCACACCCAACAACCCTTCAGGTTCACTCCCAGGCTCCTTCCCAGCAATTACTTCCCTCTCCCTCAGCTCCTTTGTTACCCCTGACTTCCCCAAGCCTTTGCACTGCTTCTGAGGGGGTGTGGGAAATACGTTTCTGTATTGTAGTTTAAATGCATTATTATTCAAAGTTCAGTATTAATATGCCTAATAAGGAATCTGTTTCTCAAGAAACATTTCCTGAACTTTTTTGTTGTCTGTATTGTTACAGCCATACTTGTTGACAGGTATTTTGAAATAAATTACCAAAAGAATTGAAACTGGCATGATTATATTGTATTATTTAGACAAATAAAATATTGTGTGCAGAATTTTTAATTGTTTGGTGCAGAATTCCCCCAGGAGTAAATAAAGTATTCATAAGCAGCTGATCAATATGCTTACAAATAGGCCAGACCTATGGGGAACCATCTCATCCTAGCATGCTCCAGCCTGATCAGGTAGGGTCTGACAAAGAACCCTCAAAATCACAACTCTTTTATATAGGGTGACCATAGAGAAAGTGTGAAAAATCGGGACAAGGGGTGGAGGGTAACAGGCACCTATATAAGAAAAAGTCCCGAATATCGGGACTGTCCCTATAAAATCGGGACATCTGGTCACCCTACTTTTATACCCTTTAACTAACAAATGATGTCAGAGCCAATTACCACTTTAGCTAACAAATCAATTCAAGACAGTTTCCCCCTTTATTTCCAATTTTAATGTAGATAATATTTACAATCTCTTTTCTCCCCAAGGTCTTTTCTCCTTATCTCTTCCCCTCCTGCCTGCTGACCAACAGCTTTTTTGTCACACCTCAGTTCCCATAGGTTTTACTTTTAAGCTAATACTGATATGTGTGGTGAGAATGTCCATGTTGATTCCTTTCACAGGCACCGGCTTCCTCCGGGCCCTGAGGATGCTTAACCCCCCACTCTGCCCCAGGCCCTGCACCCATCCGACCCCAACCCGCCACCCCCACCCCATCTCTTCCTACCCCTGCTCCACCCCAGGCCATATTCCCACCCCACCCCTTCTCCCAAGCCTCCACCCTGCCCCACCTCTTCCCGCCCAGTTCTGCCCCCTCCCCCAAGCGTGCCTCATAGATTCATAGATTCATAGATTCTAGGACTGGAAGGGACCTCGAGAGGTCATCGAGTCCAGTCCCCTGCCCGCATGGCAGGACCAAATACTGTCTAGACCATCCCTGATAGACATTTATCTAACCTACTCTTAAATATCTCCAGAGATGGAGATTCCACAACCTCCCTAGGCAATTTATTCCAGTGTTTAACCACCCTGACAGTTAGGAACTTTTTCCTAATGTCCAACCTAGACCTCCCTTGCTGCAGTTTAAGCCCATTGCTTCTTGTTCTATCCTTAGAGGCTAAGGTGAACAAGTTTTCTCCCTCCTCCTTATGACACCCTTTTAGATACCTGAAAACTGCTATCATGTCCCCTCTCAGGGCTGGTCTACACCCAGCCGCTAGTTCGGCGGCTGGGGATCGAAGTTCCGGGTTCGACTTATCGCGTCTGGTCTGGACGGGATAAGTCGAACCAGGAAGTGCTCGCCGTCGACTGCGGTACTCCAGCTCAGCGAGAGGAGTACCGCGGAGTCGACGGGGAGCCTGCCTGCCGCGTGTGGACCGCGTCTGAACCGCGGTAAGTTCGAACTAAGGTATGTCGAATTCAGCTACGTTATTAACGTAGCTGAATTTGCGTACCTTAGTTCGAATTGGGGGGTTAGTGTGGACCAGGCCTCGGTCTTCTCTTTTCCAAACTAAACAAACCCAATTCTTTCAGCCTTCCTTCATAGGTCATGTTCTCAAGACCTTTAATCATTCTTGTTGCTCTTCTCTGGACCCTCTCCAATTTCTCCACATCTTTATTGAAATGTGGTGCCCAGAACTGGACACAATACTCGTCCCCCAAGCGCACCTCCCCGCTTCTCTCCTCCCCCCACCCCCCCGCACCTCCTGCATGCAACAGAACAGCTGATTGCAGTGGGCAGGAGACGGTGGGAGGGAGGGGGAGGACTTATTTGGCCAGGCTGCCGGCGGACGGGAGGCACTGGGGGGGCAGGAGTTAGCTGCCGGTGGGTGCTAAGCTCCCACTAATCTTTTTCCATGGGTTGCTCCCAGACAGGGTATAGAGCCTTTCACCCCCTAGGTCACTGATTCCATTACAATCCCAAACTAGACATGATTTCAAAATGTTACCATACAATGGCTGCTCAGTATCCTAATATGCAGTGTTAGGGATTTCAATACAATTACTAGTGAAACAGGACTGAAAACCAATACCACATTTAGCAATAATGTATTCCCCATGTTGACAGTCTCAGCTCAGTCTCAGACTAAATGAGCTACTAAAAATAAATCTCTTTTTACACAATCATAGAATCATAGGACTGTTATCTCAGTAGCTCCTGTGCCCCTGCCCCAATCTGTCCCTCTCACAAGCCTTTCTGAACACAAGACTATATGACCCTCCAGCAGACCCATGTGCCCCACTCTGTCCATCCCCCACATATTTAGCTTGTGTCACGCTGCCTCTGGGTTTGGTGATGGATCACCCATCAATTGCAGCTTTCATCTTCCTTCTGTTGTACCTTTGTTCTTTTCTTTTTAGGGTGGACTCTTCTTACTTTGTTAGGGCTCTTGTCTGCATCTTCAGCGGTTGGTGTTTGAACTCTATTTTATCAGGACAAGCTGGTGTTGGAGGTTGATTCCATCTTCCATACATACCTCATTCACACATCTAAACTAATAAGATTACAGCAGGGTTTTGCAAAAATGAAGGTTGCAGCAAGCTTACAAAATGGAGTAAGCGTTTGTAAAATGGAGTTTGAATTTACAATATGGCAAACAGTGAACGGAAGTAGACAAGTGTCGTGAATGGCAAACAGTGAACAGAAGTTACAATACTGAAACAGCGCAAGTCTCAGTGATTTAAGCAGGAATTGGATTGACAGTGAAACTTACAAGGGCAACTGGCTGAACAGCTATGGCTCTTAACAAGCATCTTAATTGTCAATTAGCCAGTTATTGGGGTAATCGGTTTTATGAATGAATGTTGTTTCATTCATAAAACTTTACTTATGAAGTTACATTAATAAAGTGAACAATTAAAAACAATTTCATTCATCAGTTCTACACTATGTTAGACGTCAAATCACTACTAACCTTTTTGGTGAAAACTGAAACAAAAATGTAATTTAGCACTTCTGCTATTTCCACATTTTCTGTTATTGTCCCCCCTTCTCCCCCATTGAGTAATGGGCCTACCCTGTCCTTGGTCTTCCTCTTACTTCTAACGTATTTGTAGAATGTTTTCTTGAAGTCGGGAGGATGTCTGTTTCAAAGAATGAGATAAGGGAAGGTTTCTAAAAGGAGGGCCTCTGACTGATAGGGGTGACTACAGATGGTTTTCTGTCGACAAAAAGAATCTGTCTTAAAAGAAACCATACGCGCCGACTCCGTGGGTGCTCCAGCCCTGGACCACCCATGGAAAAAAATTAGTGGGTGCTTAGGACCCACCGGCAGCTAAGCTCCTCCTCTCCCACCAGCGCCTCCTGGCAGCCCCACTGATCAACTCCTCCCCCTCCTTCCCAGCGCCACCCGCCCGCCCCCCATGGATCAGCTGTTCTGTGGTGTGCAGGAGGCGCTGGAAGGGAGGAGGAGGAGCGGGGATGAGGCATGCTCTGGGAAGGGGGCGGAACTGGGCAGGAAGAGGTGGTGTGGGGGTGGGGCTTGGGAGAAGAGATGAGGTGGGGGCTGGGCCTGGGGCAGAGAGGGTGCGGGAAGAGGTGGGGTAGGGGCAGAGCCTGGGGCGGAGCCGGAGGTTGGGGTTTGAGCACCCCTGGGGTCTGGAGGAAGCCGGTACCTGTGACAGCTGGGAAAATTGATGCCCTGGTTGTGAAAGCTGCTGAATACCTAGAAACCCAATGGAAGTCAACAGGAATTATGGGTACTCAGAAACTGACCATAAAGTTGAATTAACCAAGGTCACAGATGAACTTCTTGTTAGAGCCCAGATTGAAACACAGGGAATCCCTTGTTCTCAATCCCATGAGTAATGATCTAGACTACATAGGGTTTCCAATTGTCTAATCGCACAAAACCAAACACCCTTGCCCTGCCCCTTCCCTGAGGCCCCGCACCTCCCCACCCCTTCTCACTCTATCCCCTTTCCCTCGGTGGCTCGCTCTCCTCCACCCTCACTCACTTTAACCGGGCTGAGGTGCGGGCTCTAGGCTGGGGGGTGGGGCCAAGGGGTTCAGAATGTGGAAGGGAGCTCCGGGCTGAGCCTGGGACAGGAGGTTGGTGTGCAGGAGGGGATGCAGGCTCTGGGAGGGAGTTTGGGTGCAGGAGGGGGCTCAGGGTGCAGGAGAAGGTGAGGAGTGTGGGTTCTGGGAGGGAGTTTGGGTGCAGGAGGGGGATCAGGGTGGGGGTAGGGGTGCGGGAGGGAGTGTGGGCTCCAACTGGGCAGTGCTTACCTCAGACGGCTCCCAGAAGTGTCCGACTTGTCCCTGCGGCTCCTAGGCTCAGGGGCAGCCAGGTGGCTCTGCACACTGCCCCCGCTTGCAGGCACTGCCCCCACAGCTCCCACTGGCTGCGCTTTCCGACTAACGGGACCTGCGGAGCCAGCACTCAGGGCGGGAACAGTGCGCGGAGCCTCTCTGATTGCCCCTGCACTTAGGTGCCACAGTGACATGGCTGCTTTGGGGAGCCACACGGAGCCAGGGCAGGTAGGGAGCCTGTCTTTGCCCTGCTGTGCCGCCAACTGGACTTTTGGCCTATTAAAATCTCCTGGATTGCTTTCAATAGCAAACGGGAGATTGAGTCTGATTCTGGGACTCCCGGCCAATGCAAGAGGGTTGGCAACCCTAAGACTACACCATCTCTTATAACACTGAGCTGTTTTCTTTGTGGGTAGAAGCTGCATTGGCTGCTCAGTGGAGCAGCTGGTAGGGACGGAGTTTGCAGTGGTAACATGGGAGGTACTGTTGTCCATTGCAAAAACAGAAGTTGATCTGGGAACGTCACCCTCCTCAAAATTGAGGGATTTACAGCCATCAGCTTTCATAGAGGTCACAGGCTAGTCAGAGGGGGCAATGTGAAGTTTATCAACACTGGCTTTACACTAATGAAAAGGTCTGGGACAGAGATTAGCTCTGACCTTTCTGGGTCCCCAAAATCATGGAGGTGGCAGTGGAGAAGCAGCTTAGTCAAGCTCTGACAGAGTCATTGCATCAGAATAAAGTGGTTTCAGCAGATTTATTTCAGCCCCATGTCATCAGCATCTGCCAAAGGACGAAGTCAGCTCATCCCACACGGGAAATCCCCACAGACAGCAGGCCCGGAGTGTGTGTCTTCTCATTTGATTGGTTCCTCCATATGTCTGTCAGAAAAGCCTACTCTCTTATTGGTTAGCTAGGGAATGTAAATAACTGGTTTTACTTTTTTGGGGAAACCTTTGACCCAACTCTCTCTCCCATGATAGGCGGAGATTCAGGGCCCACCCCTCTTTCTAAATCTCTTGTTTGATTGGCGCAGAGTGTTTCTCGTCATGCCTTTCTCCTCTTCAATTGGTCACAAGGCAGTTAACACGTAGAGCGCGCTCTGTGTTTGTGAGGATATAAGGAGTCGACCTGGCAACCCTCCTTCTACCTTCCGGTCTGCCGCTGGAAGCGTTGACTTGGGGGCGTGGCTTATGAATAGCTATGAGCACGGCTGTAGTTGTTATGGTTATGCGTAATTATTCATAACGCTGCCTGGTGATTGGCTGGGATGTCTGATTAATTATTAACAAGCCACTTGGCGGGCTTTCGAGGGAGTACTACGCATAGGCCAGGCAGAAGGAGCCGGGGGGTGGGGCTATGCTGATGAGGCGGGTGCAGGAGGCCGGGGCAGCAGGGAAAATGGCGGCGGAGCGGAGCCGTTCGCCCATTGAGGGCTTCCCGGTACCGGCCTGTATGTTCGCGCCGGAGCCCAGCTCCCCCGGCGGGGCGGCCCAGGCGACAGCCTCCGCCCGACCCCACCGCGCCGCCTTCGGCTCGGACTGCAGCGAGGACGGGGAGGTGCTCAACGGGGAGCCCGAGCTCGACCTCACCAGCAAGGTAGGCCCGGGCGAGGGAGGCGTTTGACTGCTGGGGAACTGGGGCCGCTTCTCTCCGCGGCCGGGGTGGGGGCGTGTCCCTGGCGGGGGAGCGGGAGGCCGGCGGGGGAGGTCCAGTGAGGGTAGCTGCCGGTGCCCTCGGGAGCGGGGAGCTGGGCCGGTCCCGCCCCACCCAGGCGGTGAGGATGGGGGGCAGCAGCCGCTGGGGGAGACAGCCGGCCGGGCAGGAAGATCCGCGCGACAGGTGTCCCGGACCTCCCTGGTCTGAGCGCCCGGCACGGCTCCGGGATGTGGCTCTGCGGGGGTTGTGAGCTGGCAACTTGTTTTTTTTATTTACCGCACATTCCTGCCCTTCCCCCTAAACTGGCACCTGCTGGCATCTTTCACTGGGCAGCCCCAGGTGCTGGTCCCCCTACTCCGTAATGTTTAAAAGCAGCTCAACGTTCATAACCGGTGAGTACGTCTGTGCAGTGTGGGGCGGAGACCTATCGTGTAACTGACAAACGTGTCAAAAATGACTGAAAGGGGCCTTTGAAAGAGCCCCCTCCCACATAGAGCACATTGGCTGTACTTTATCTAGCGCTGTTTAGGAAATTGACCCAGGCAGTGTGTTTAACCTGGGTGTCTGATCTTCCGTCTAGTTGGTGATGGTGAGTCCGACATCGGAACAGTATGACAGTCTGCTCCAGCAGATGTGGGAGAGAATGGATGAGGGATGTGGGGAGACCATCTATGTAATTGGACAAGGATCAGGTGAGTATAGCTTCCTTTTGAAGCAAGAGCAAACACTAACTTTACAAGAAAGTGTTAGTTATCTAATTTGATGCTTCAGAGGAAAGTAGAATTCCCTCCACCCCATTCCCCAATACAATACCACATGCAGGGCATGCCCTGCTGGTGAGTGTGCCTGGAAACCTAATTGGGTTACCCTGTTATTATTTTATCTGGCATAACTATAAATATTATTGATAACCACTCTTATTTCCAAATGCATTTTAAGGCGTCTGAGCACAGTACTGGGTGATGAGAGTTCTGGAGTTATCTCAGTCTTGATACTTCCTTCATGTTCTGAAGTGTCTGCTTTACCTCTGTCATTGCTTTTTTCCCATTTGTAAATTGGGAATACTTCCCTACTTCACAGGGGTGTGTTAGAAGCACTTTATATTTAACTATCAACTTTAACTAAAATAGCTGCTTCTGACTCCCCTTAGTAGCATGTGCTGAAGGCTGTCTATAGTACATAAAGCAGTTCCCTTTTTGTTGTTTCTAAATGTAATACCTTTAATGTCACATGTCCTAGGTGTGGCAGCAGCCACCTGCTTTTGCATATTTGTGGTTTTCACACCTGATCCTTTAACATGGCTTTCATATGTGTGCCCCTTGTTCATTTGTTCATTCTCTTTTGCAAATCACATTTTTGAATGTTGTCGTGCTAATGAAAAATACTGAATTTGACACCCCTAGAGCATGACATTCTTTCATAGAAAGCACAATTAGCTCATGGATGTCACTAAGGCCAAGAGCATGGTGGGTTTCAAAATAGCTGGATATGTACATGGATATTCTTAATATCCAGAGTCAAAGTTTTTATTATTTTATTTCTTTTTTTAAAATATTTACTAAGTTTTGGAAGGGGTATATTTCAGTGCCGAAGCCAACCCTCAAGCTATGGAACAATTAGCAGGAAACCTTGCAAGGGGGCAGGTTGTCCCATAACTGCTTACTGCAGATTTTCTTGCACCTCCTCTGAAGCATCTGGAAGTAGCCACTGTCTCTCAGGACAATGGACTAGATAGACCACTAGTCTGATTAATTTCAATTGCTATGCCTGCAGTACAGGGAGAACATTGACCGTGTTCAGTCAAGCTTCCCATGTACTTCAGTCCTATCTATTTTCTGTATCCCTGATGCAGGGAATAACCATGCCAAGGGAGGGAAGTTCAGTTGGTCAATTCAGTCCTTGTGCTTTCTGCTGAGACTGCCCATAAGGATAATTTGTGATTTGTTTAGAGATAGGCACTTGCTTGCTAAGATCTGGGTTAAGACTCCCCAAGAGGGAAATATGCATTTTTGTATACAAACCTGGGGTTGTATTGGAACCAGTAACCTAGAGGAGAAAGACTTCATATCCCAGCCACAATCCCCCAAACCCATGTAGACTCCTTTGAATTTCTTTAGTTTTTCTTTAAATTATTAAAACTAGACTGGAGATCTAGTCAGTTTTACAAAACATGTTAATAGTTCTTTTCAAAAGCTATCTTCTCCACTGCATCCCCTTGGTAACTTTTTTTTTAAACACTTTCTCTCCCCTGTTGCAGTGTGAAAGACAAATAGAGTATCTGGCTGTAGATGGGGAAACTGACTAAATACCCAGAGTGCTGTTAAATGCACAAAGTAAGCAAACTGAGAAATATATGAATTTTTATGCTAATCCTTCAGCGATTTTAGGTGTTGCTTGTAACTCTAGTAGGTAAAGCACTTTCAGATAGTAGGATTTATTTATTGTTTTGTTTTTTTGCTGTTGTTGATAGTGACCCTTTAATTCCTTTGAGTCTTAAAATTAAGCCTAAAGTTTTCTTCAGGAATAGGCCGTTCTTCCTGTGTTTCCATAGGCTGACTGGTGTCTTTCCCATGTGTGTAATCAGTGCTATAGGCAGTTCATGTGAAGAGAGAATAAAATTAACATTTACTCCAGGCTGTTGGGAAGTGTTGCTAATCTTTTATTCCCTTCCCCCTCACAACCTCTCTTTAGATGGGACTGAATATGGTCTGAGTGAGGCAGATATGGAAGCATCCTATGCCACAGTGAAGAGCATGGCAGAGCAGCTTGAGGCAGATGTGATACTTCTGCGGGAGCACCAGGAGGCAGGGGGCAAGGTGCGCGACTACCTTGTTCGGAAACGTGTGGGTGACAACGACTTCCTGGAGGTCAGGTGAGGAGGCAGGGTTAGGCAGCAACACAGCCACATCTCTTTGATCTGAGCAAGTGGTGGTTTGAATTTGGGTGTTGTATGAACCCAGAAAAGGCAGCTGTCTGAACACTCCTTGCTAATTACATCTTTTTCCTCCTCTTTTTATACAAGCTGTCTGGAGTGATCTTTACTTTGCACTCCTGTTCTTGGCTCAAAAGTTTCAGTGTCTGAGTGACAGCCTCTGTTTTGGGCTCTCTCTGGGCTGGGAGCACTTCAGGGATTCTCTGCTGATCCATCAAGGAGTTATTTGGGGACTCATTCATCCTGTGATTGCAGGGGATTCTGGGGCCCTTGCAAGGAGTGGACTCTTTAAAATAAGTCAGATACTGGAATATGGAGTCTTTTGCTTATCAGTCACCACTTCGGTTCCAGCCTACTGCTTAAGTGATCTCTTGATGGGTGTCTGATGCCTTGTATAAAAATGACTTGGGAGTCTCAGTACAGTTCCAGGTGGATTGGGTTTTCGCATCACTCATGCTGCCACAATGGCCATCCTCATCAGCATCAATAAAGATGTTTAATATTAATACATGAATTCCCTAAAAGTGTCCCTCTAAGTTGGATTATGTTGTTGCTTGTACTGTGCAAACTCTAAGAACAGATTTCAGGTTCTGGTGCTGTCACTGGCACCCATCGCTAGCTTCTAGTAACATGAAAAACTTTTCCAAGGGAAGACCAAGCTGACATTCAAAACTCTTTTCCAGGTGTCTGATTACTTTATTCTCTCCCTGGTAGGGTAGCAGTGGTGGGCAATGTGGATGCAGGAAAGAGCACATTGCTGGGTGTCCTGACGCATGGTGAGCTGGACAATGGCCGGGGCTTTGCACGGCAAAAGCTCTTCCGCCACAAGCATGAGATCGAGTCGGGTCGTACCAGCAGTGTGGGCAATGATATCTTGGGCTTTGACAGTGAGGGCAATGTGGTGAACAAGCCTGACAGCCATGGTGGCAGCCTGGAGTGGACCAAAATCTGTGAGAAATCCACCAAGGTCATCACTTTCATTGACTTGGCTGGGCATGAGAAGTACCTGAAGACCACAGTCTTTGGCATGACTGGTCACCTACCAGATTTCTGCATGCTTATGGTAAGTGGCAGTAAAGCAGTGCAATATGCCACTGTTCAAAGCTGTAAAATACTAGTACAGAGGAGAAGTGGATGACTTTCTTTGGGGCGGGAACTCTTTTTGTTCTGTGTTGTACAGCACCTAGTACAGTGGATACCTGGTCCATGATGGGGCGGGGTGGGGGTGTCCTAGGTAGTGTGGTAATATAACTAATAGCTTCAGTAGGCAGAATATAATTCCCAATATGATGGCATGGCCAGGACTCCACGGCTGTGTCCCTGCTCTTGAGACATGCCATGGGATCTTCAATAGCCATAAGTAGTGAGGATATCTCTTTTCTTTGTCATCTGAAAGATTTCTGAACTTGGAAATACAGTGCTGTAAGCACTAGTTATGAGTTGACTTCTTTTCCTCACTGCTGTCTCTCCTCCTACTGATGTGTTTAAAATTCTTGTGTGTTGAGGGGATGGAATCCGGAATTGCTTCCCCTTCCCTCCTGCCTGCCCCCCGCCCCCCACCCCACCAGTTCTACAATCTGATCATAGTCTACAGCAGGGGTTAAATAAATAAATAGGATATCTTTTATTTATTTATTTATTTATTTATCTACTAGAACTGGAAGGGACCTTGGAAGGTCATCGAGTCCAGCACCCTGCCTTCACTAGCAGGACCATGTACTGATTTTTGCCCCAGATCCCTAAGTGGCCCCCTCAAGGAATGAACTCTCAACCCTGGGTTTAGCAGGCCAATGCTCAAACCACTGAGCTATACCTCCCCCCTTCTCAAACTTCATTGCACCGTGACCCCCTTCTGACAACAAAAATTACTATACGACTCCAGGAGCGGGGACCAAAGCCTGAGCCTGCCCAAGCGAGCCCTGCCACCCTGTGTGGTGGGGACCAAAGCCCAAGCTCCACCACCCGAGGTAGGTGGGGGCAAATCTGAAGCTCAAGGGCTTCAGCCCCAGGCAGGGGGCCTGTAACCTGAGCCCCGCCGCCCAGGGCTGAAGCCCTTGGGCTTTGGCCCCAGTCCCCAGCAAGCGTAAGCCAGCCCTGGAGACCATTAAAACAGTCATGACCCACTTTGGGGTCCTGACCCACAGTTTGAGAACCGCTGGTCTACTGCATACTCTGGCCAAACTATCCTATGTGATCCAGCTACCTGCAGTTGTATGACTTTTTGATGCAGGTTGGCAGCAATGCTGGGATTGTTGGGATGACCAAGGAGCACCTGGGCCTAGCGCTGGCACTCAATGTTCCAGTCTTTGTCGTGGTGACAAAAATCGACATGTGTCCTGCCAACATCCTGCAAGGTAAATGTGGATCTTTGCCAGCAACTGCTCCTCTGTCCTCAGAACACTCAGTATCCACTGGCTTGCCAGTGTCCCCTCAGCTGGGATGGTGAATCAGGGCTGACAGAAGTCACCTCATACTTAATATGGCTTAGGCTGTAGCTCAAATACATTCTAGAAATTGTCTTTTTTCCCAAGACAGTCCCCTCACTTGTGTTACAGCTGTCACCTCCATTGTTTGGATTGCTTAGTTGTGCAGCAATACAGTGTTTGCTGTGTGGTTTTGCCTAATTAGGCTGGTGGTGTCAGAGTTAACTAAACCTTTGGCCCTTCTCCTGGTCTTCCTCGATGGCACCCACTTAGATGATGGCCAGGATCCTGAACACTTTTCTTGGGCAGAGATTTCTCTTCCCCCCCCCCCCCCAACTGGGGATTTATGCTTGCTTTCACTTTGTACCTTACGGTGATTTCCCCAGCAGATCTGACTGGGGACCAGCACCTGTGGTTAACTCTTCTCCAGGGGCTACAACCGTGTACTCCAGTTACCAACCAGACTTCATAAAGCAAAATACATTTATTCTCAGGGTAAAATCATTAGAGGAAACCATATTAACACGTTAATACAAACTCTTTTAAACAGGGCCGTCCCTACCCATATGCAAAGTACGCAGCTGCGTGGGGCACCAAATTTCCTGGTGCCCTGCATGCTGCTCCAGCCCCTGCCCAGTCTCTTTCCCATGGCCCAAGCCCTGCCTCCGCTCCCGAGGACTGCAGCGGGGCCAGGCCTTCATTCACTGGCAGCGGGAAGTGCAGCGACCCGGCCCCAGCCATGCCACCAGTGAGTGCTGGGGGGGCAGTTCCCCCTGCCCCCAAGCCAGCCCTGCCCCTCTCAGAGGCCTGGGGCCAGCTCCCGCCCCCTCCCCCCCACAGGGGGGGCTACATAGGGCTCCAGAATAGCTAGGGAGAGCCCTGCTTTTTAAAGCTTGGTAGGTCACTCGTCACACTTATGGGGTCCTACATAGTAAACCAAAGTCCTTCCAGCCCTTCCATAAGGGTTAGGGGATCCCTTGGACACAGGGTCCGGTCCACTTGCTGAATCAAAAGAAGGCCCTATGTCAGTTTAAACTCAGCCTTTTTGTGCCAAAAGCCCTTTCTTTGATCCCTGGAAAACCCAGTTGGAACGTGTACGTGTGTGTGTGTCAGTCATCAGGAAGGAGTTGTATGATTCACCTTAATCACCCACACAGTTTTTAGTTCCTGGAGAGCTGTGGTAACCCTTGCTCTTGGAGTTGTATGCAATCCCTTGTGCACAGTGATATGTAAATCATTAATAAACTTAATATAATGGTCCCTAAAGAGAGATTGCAACTGCAGGCAGTCACATAGGCTCTCTGGGGAGAGGCAGCCAAGTGCTTTAGGCTGGAGTTGGGGATTTTTCTCTTAGTATCTAAATTTGAAGGGGGGAAGGCCTGCAGTTGGGGTGTGGGGGATGGATATTAATTTGAAAGCCCTTGCTCTGCTTCCTGCTTGAAGGTCAAAAGTGACCTGCTTAAGCACTTCCAGTGGTGTGCATCAAAACAGAGGGATGTGGGCTGCCTCTTTTCCTGAATTCTGCTCCTACTTTGATTTTGTTCCTCGCCCATAAGGATTTGGCTCTAGTTACTTGGAACAGTGATGTGTTTTTGGTCAGAAGTGCCTGAGAAGTTTTGAGAACCAGGAAGACTAGCAATCTGCCTGTTGCATAAATTCTGTCAGAAGATGCTTTCAGTAAACAGGACACTGAGCAGTATCTTCTGTAAATCCTAGGAAACGAAGGTGTAAAAGATATTTGGCAAACTAACGAAAGCCCAGTCATAAAGCCAGTAACAGGGGAGGGAGGAGCATATTTGGTTTAGGGTAAGAGAGTGGACGTTTTGAGAATTTTTTTTAATCTCAGAGCCCACTACTGTGCCAAGAGAAGGATGTAGATGTTCTAATTTGAATAGAAGGTGGAAGATTTGGCCCCTTTACCTTGAGCTTTGTATGAGGAACAGATGACATGGTCAGATGTCGGTGTCTCCTTAGCCAAAACACTAGCCTCCTACAGTTGCCTTTTCTTAATGACAGCCTGGTTATGGTTATCTGATCAGATGACAATTGAGGGATATAAACTAATTGCCACTTAAGAAGTCCTTACCATCCCCCTTGTTTTCCCCCACACATAATAGTTAGTTATGTTGTAGGAGATCACCTTTCATTAATGCGTTGGGTCTTGGCCACTTCTGGAAGCAAGATACTGGACTAAAAAGGAACTGGCTCCACCGTGGCAGGAGAAGAGGGAGGGCAGGAATCTGATCTGAAAGCCAAATCCTCTACTCTGAAACATTGACTCCTGCATGTCCCCTATCTGGACCTCATTTTGCTCTTGTGATAATCTCTGCTCCCCTCTTGCTTCTGTGGAATTGTGGTAATCAATACTCATAAGTAAGACTGTCCTGTCCTATCATGGCAAAAGCAAGTCATAATTCAAACATTTTCTAGTCCTGACCACTAATTAGCATTCACCTCATCATGGAAAACTGAGGAAGGTCAAATCCTTTTTTATGATTGTTTAAAACTAGAGTGGCTAAAGATCAATGACTTGTTTGGGGGGTGAGTGGGGAATCATATTTAAAAGTTCTTTTAAAAATAAATTCAGATTTCATTTTAAACAGGTTTAATACAGAATATGTGAAGGTCTAAACTTAAATCATTTTAAATAAAAACAATATGCTGAACCTGTGAGCCTCTATCAAAAACTTTTTTAAGTTGAAGGCTGGAGATCAGGAGAAAAATGTTCTAACTTTTGAGAATTTTATAAACATGGCACAACAGATCATGCTCCGTATTAAGGGCTTGATCCTGTGGGGGATGCAGGGGCTGTGCAAGACACTGGCAAAGTAGGGTTGCCAACTTCCTAATTGCAAAAAAACTGAACACCCTTGCCCTGCTCCCTTCCCTGAGGCCCTGCCCCCCAACTCACTTTCACCAGGCTGGGGCAAGGGGTGTGGGATGAGGTGCGGGCTCTGAGGTGGGGCTGGGGATGAGGGGTTTGGGGTGTAGGAGGGAGCTCTGAGTGGGGACTGAGGGGTTCACAGTGCAGGAGGGGGCTTGGGGCAGGGGGCTGGGGTGCAGGCTTTGGGAAGGGAGTTGGGGTGCAGGAGGGAGTTCTGACCTGGGGAGGCGGTTGGGGTGCAGGCTCCAGCAGGGTGGCGCTTACCTCCGGCGACTCTAGTCAGCAGGGCTTAGGCAGGCTTCCTGACTCCGTGCAACTCCTGGAAGCAGTGGCATGTCCCTGCAGCTCCTAGGCAGAGGGGCCAGGGGCCTCTGCGCACTGCCCATGCCCACAGGCGCTGACTCCACAGTTCCCATTGGCTGGGACCGCAGCCAATGGGAGCTGCCGAGTTGGCGCTCAGGCAGTGTGCGGAACCCACCAGGCTGCCCCTCCGCCTAAGAGCCAGATATGTTGGCCACTTCTGGGAGCCATGCAGAGCCAGGGCAGGCAGAGAGCCTTCCTTAGCCCCGCTGTGCCCCCGACCGGACTTGACAGCCCGGTCAGTTGTGCTGGGGACTGCCAGCGTCCCTTTTTGACTGGGCAATCCAGTTGAAAACCTGATTCCTGGCAACCCTGTGGCAGTCATCCCACCCAGTGGACCTGGCCTCTGACTTCAGGAGACAGTAACATGTACCTCATCAGCAGGGATTCTAGTTTTGTGATTTTTTTTTTTTTTTTTTTTTAAAAAGAAATCTAAATCCATGTTTTTCCACAACTAAAATGAGATACCTATATTATGGCTAGACATCGGTTGAACACTGTTTTATTGATATATTCACAATTTTAAAGCAAGTTTGAAGCCTATCTGTGCCAATCATTATAATAAAATTAATAGAATGGTCCAGTCACAGTGCATTGTTTCTTTTTAGTGTTCTTGATGGCCCTGCTGTTTCAGCCTCTTGCTTTTTTTTTTAGCTTCTTTTCATTGTTTGGCGCTTTCTATCTGTTCTACCATTGTCTGCCTTCGAACATAATCTGCACCCTTATTGCATACAGTACAGAACCGCACATTGCTATCAATGTGTAATTTGTTCTTCCCAAACTCAGTGACATGGTTGTTAGGGGTGATTTTTAAAGTTTTCAGCATCTTTTCATAACTTTAATTACTTGTGGAGGCTGAAGTGAGATGCATTGAAACATGAACCTCTACATTAGGGGTAGGCAACCTATGGCGCACGTGCCAAAGGCAGCACGCAAGCTGATTTTCAGTGGCACTCATACTGCCTGGGTCCTGGCCACCGGTCCGGGGGGCTCTGCATTTTAATTTCATTTTAAATGAAGCTTCTTAAACATTTTAAAAACCTTATTTACTTTATATACAACAATAGTTTAGTTATATATTATAGACGTTCTAGAAAGAGACCTTCTAAAAACATTACAATGTATTACTGGCCTGCGAAACCTTAAATCAGAGTGAATAAATGAAGACTTAGCACACCACTTCTGAAAGGTTGCTGACCCCTACTCTACGCTGTTGAGTAACCTCTATACACCAGAAGCAGTTTATTGGAGTATGTAAATTTAAAGTGCATTCAAAAATCAACCACAAGAGAGGGAGGTTGCAAGCACTGAATAAGTGATACGGGTACTTTCAGTAAAATGTAGTTAATGTTTTTATTTTTTCACCAAATGTAAAAACTAAAGATTATCTGTAAAAACACACATTCTGCATTTTTTCCATGGCAAACTGATTTATAGGATCCCTGTGTGATGGGATCCCTGGGGTACAACCTGGAACTTGAGTACTGCTCTGTCCCCCTAACTCTCCAGCCTGGGCTGTCTCTCCCAATGCTTTGCTAGTGACAAGCAGCAAACCCCTCCAGGCACTGTTATCACTCAGTATAACAGCATGTGGAGCCTCACACCCAGCTAGATTGTATGAATGCTACCTGAGCCACTCATGAATCAGACAGAGAAAGGTACCAGCAAATCTCCCAAGCCCTCAGCCTTGTACCCACAACTGTACCGTCTTGTCCTAGTCAGAAGCCTGACCCATGTATGTTTATTATCCAGTCTGCTGCTCCCTTGATGTGGAGAGGACACACACTGGCCTTTGTAAACTGAGCTGAGGTTTCCCAAGCACTTCAACCAAAACACACTGTTTTAAGTAAAATATAAAGCACATTTATTAACTACAGAAAGGGAGATTTTTAGTGATTATAAGTGGTAGGCACAAAAAGTTAGAGATAGTTACCAAACAAAAATGGTAAGTGCACAGTCTAAATCTTAAACCTTATTAGATTAGGCAGGATTTGGATCAAGCAGTTTTCTCACCCCACTAGATGTTACAGTTCTTAATACATAGGCTTCCCCTTTAAGCCTGGGACCAGTCTCCTCAGTTAAAGACTTTGTTTTCCCAGCATTCTTGTTGCTTCCGGCATAGGTGGGGGAGGAAAAAAGTCAAAGAATGATGCCACTATCCCCTATTTTAGTTCAGTAACAACCATATAGCAAAATCTCACAGCTTCATATACATGATATACATATTTTGACAGAACAATGGGTTTCAGCAGACTATGATCTTTCATATGGTATCTTACGTGGCATGCTTTGTATGAAATGTATCATCATTGTATGATGGGTGAATATGGGAGTTCTAGGGTGCTGCTTTGAGGTACAGAGTGCCACACCCTGCTCTTCAGGATCATCTGCTAAGCCTACCTGTGGCCTCATGTTTAGGGCCCAACCAAATTCATGGTCCATTTTGGTCAATTTCACGGTCATAGGATTTTAAAAATCATAAATTTCATGATTTCAGATATTTAAATCTGAAATTTTACGGTGGTGTAACTGTAGGGGTCCTGACCTAACTCTGAAGTAAGGGTGGCTTGGTATGGTATTGCCACCTTTACTCCTGCACTGCTTTTGGCAGGGCGCTGCCTTCAGAGCTGGGTGCCTGGCCAGCAGCTGAAGTTCTCCGGCCACCCTGCTCTGAAGGCAGAGCCAAAGTAAGGGTGGCAATACTGCGACCCTCCTACAATAACCTTGCAACTCCCCTTCCCCATGACCCTCTTTTGGGTTGGGACCTTCAGTTGAGAAATGCTGGTTTCCCCTGTGAAATCTGTATAGTATAGTGTAAAAGTACACAAAAGACCAGATTTCATGGGGGAACACCATATTTCATAGTCCATGATGCATTTTTCTTGGCCCTGAATTTGGTAGGGCCCTACTCATACTCCTGTTTTATAACTTTTCTCTTGACCTGAGTGCTAATTGGCTTAGTTCTCAAATTATGAATATTTGACAACACTCACCATGCAAACTTACTCTCCAGCTCATGTAAAAACACTGATATGCCCAGTATCTGCCTGTCCTTGCTTCTGGGTGGTTCTGGACACTTCAAGTAAATGGCCTCGCTCTGTCTCCTTGTACATAGACAGATACAAACAGAAATCCATTAACTTCTCAACTGCCTCCCTCTCTCTTTCTAAACAAGTAAAATACTGCCGTGCAAAAGGCATGTGGGTTACATGAACAGAAATCTTGGATTGTTGTTAGTTCTTTTGTTTTTCTCGGGGTAGGAGAGGGCGGGTGAGTTATGTAACGCGGCAGAAGGAACAGTGTGCGCAACCAGAAAGGAGCAACCGTAGTGTCTAAGCAGGATACTGTGAAGAAGAGACAATTTTCTTCGGAGTGCAACTTCTAGTGTTGACTTCAACACCTGGGAACTGAAAAATAATCTGCCATGGCTGCAGGTCATAAAACCATATCTGGGAATATTGTCAAGAAATTCCTGTACCCCATGGTACAAAAGGAATGTGCCAAATACAGCGAATAATGCAACAAAGAGATGCAAGGCCTGGCTGTCAGAATGAAACGACATTATGAAAAATGCTCCTCAGAAGGTAATGACTTTGAAGATGATGATGTGGACATATCTGAACAATCTGGATCAACTGGTTAGTAAACTTAAGTTTGCATCTTTCTTATGCACTGCCTGCCATGTCTTAATGTGCTAGTGAATAACTTAAATTGTCATAAATTTGTGTTTTGGGTGGATTACTTATGAATTTCAAAATTTGTTCAAAATATAATTGGTATGTTTGTGGGAGTATTTATCAATTACACTTTTACTGTCACTGCTGGACTTCTGAAATTCTTCATTGCTTAGTATAATCAAACATCCTAAGTGACGACTTTCTGTTTAAAGTGTGATTGGGCACTTATGAATTTTAGCACTTAAACATTTTTTTAAATCTGTTTGGTATGTTGTTAAAGATAAGGGTTTAAATAGATTTAGAGAATCCTTGGATTTATTTTCTCTCTAAAACTGGGTTTAAAATAAACTGTCATTTAAACAGTGGTACAAATAGTAGTAGGCAGAATCTTTCATTTACAATTTTTTTTTTTTTAAAGCCGTGCACTCAGTAGTAATCAGTGAGCGAGTGATTTTTTTTTTTTTTTTTTTAACCATTTTGTTTCAGGGGCCAGTTTAGGTATAAGGGATTATGAATATCCATCTGCAATGTCTACAACTTCAGAGTCACCTGCTGATACCACCAGCAGTGCTGCAATTAAACATGTCAGACAGTAAATTAACTGCGTTAAAAAATGCATGGAAGAGTTCATAAGCAGGACCAGCAAATTCCAGCAAGATGAAACAACTCCATAGATTAAAGGATTGCTTGGTTCATTTATGCAACAAATTCTTCATTTCGGCTTGTTCAAAGCAAACACTTCATTGGACGTAGTTCAGTCATTATGACCAGGCTGCACTCCACCCGGCAGAGCAGACACTGTTGAAAGGTTGTTGGATACAGTATACGAGAAGGAAATCTGAAGAGTGTGCAAAAAAACATTGACAGGGAAACTTGGTAATGTGAGTCTTGATGGGTGGAGCAAAGTATGCAATGATCCAGTAATTTGTTTTTGTGTGACAGACAACAACCCCATCTTATGTTATTTTACAGAAATTGACACATCAGGAAATACCTATACAGCAGAATACTTAAAGTAGAAGTAAAGGCTATAACAAACTGAACAAAAATTAAACAGTTGAACACACAGCTTTGTTGCAGACAATGCTGTAAATGTAGCAAAGATGAGAAGTCTAGAAGAAGATAATGAAGGGAACCTAAAACTTATAACATATGGGTGTGCAGTGCTCCTTGATTGCATCTTTTAGCAAAGACTTAAATACAACATTTGGAATAAAGGAAAACATTTTTGACATTGCGGAATACTTCATAACAACCACTGTGCTTCAGCTTCACTGAACAAAGCATGAGGATCCAAACTAATTCTCCCCCAAGATGTGTGATGGAATTCAGTGGTTGACTGTTTTGAGCTATTTATTAAGAATTGGCCTCTTCTGATGACAATTTTGTGAAGAAAATCATAACAAAATAGATGGAACTATCACAACCAGCGTAGTCAACATTGGACTAAAGAGAACTGTAGAAGATATGCTGAATATACTGAAACCTATTTCCATATCCTTGAGCAAACTGCAGAAAGATTGCAGCTGTATTGCTGATGCTGTTGAAATTTGGAAAGAATGTCAAGAGACATTGAAGAAAGAAATACCCAGCAGCAAAGTTAAATTTTAGGCAGTGAAGAAGTGGATGGATCAAGCACCTACTCCATCTCTTTCTTGCCAATATTCTCAGTCCAAAGTTCCAGGACAGATGCCCAACTGCTGAAGATGCTGCTATGACTTGGGCATCCAGTAATCACCCCAAAATCATGCCAACAATAATAAATTTCAGGGCTGGAGGTGAACCATTCAAGCAGTACATGTTGGCTGATCTTTAAAAGAATCCCACCACTGAATTGGTGGAAGTCACTAGCTAAGCACCAGGAACCAGTGTGTGTTGAAGTGCTAAACCAGCTTTTGACGCTAGTAGCCTCTTCTGCAGGCAGGAAAGAATATTTTCTTCATTTTGACTAATTAATTCAAAGTTGAGAAGTCAATTGGAAGTTGAAACAGCAGGAAAACTTGTCTTTCTCTTCCAGTCTATGAATAAAAATGAGGAGGGAGGGAATGAGATCTAGCTTTAAAAGTTTGAAGTACAGAGTAAGTAACTATTTTCAAAAGACTTACGTGAATAGAAACTTAAGCTCCAGTCACTTTCACTTATGCATATTTGAAAAATTTCACAGGCTGACTTGAAATCAGTTTACTTCACAGGCTACAGTTAATCCCTCTGTTCCTTTAATAAATCATTTGGTTGTAAATATGAAACATCTTTTAAGTTCATGTATCCAAAACATTTACCGTTTTTTGTTTAATACAAATAAATTTTATATGCTGTTTTGTGTTTGAATTAATTCCAGTTGCCATCCTGATGCAGCTTGACACAAATCATGAGCTAAAGTTAATTTTGGAGTAAATAAGCAATATATTACTGACCTTTTTTTCTAACATACTGAAAATGTACAGTTAAGAAGAATCTGAAAATATTGAGCTATATAATTGCTTGAATAAGTGTATATAGTTATAGTCTACCTTCCTGCATCACAAAAAGGTGTACCCAATCTAGTATAAAGGGTCTATTTAGTTGTAAAGTAAATCAGATTGGTTGATATAAAATAATAAGCAGTCATCTTTCGTGAGACGATAATTGATGTACAAATGGAAAGATTGATTGAAATCTAATTTAAATTGAGGTTTTCCATTTAGTGATTTAAATCGCCTCAAATTAAATTAATCCATTCCCATTTAAAACAGACCTCTAATAAGCAACCTTAAAACTTAGACTCCACTTCAATAAATGTATATAGAGGCAAATTTATACTTTTTTGGCACAGTTTTGGCTTGGCAGCAGGCTGGCTGTTATGGAAGATGTGACCCCAAGTCCATTTTTTTGCAAATGTGCCTATCTCTCTTAGGAAATCTGACCAAGGCAATTTTTAAAGAGGGGAGATGCTGCCCTAACTATGTTCATTTCACCCTTTAAGAAACTCTGAAGCTGTTACAGCGACTTCTGAAGTCCCCAGGGTGCAGGAAGATCCCGGTGCTGGTTCAGAGCAAAGATGATGTCATTGTAACAGCCTCCAACTTCAGCTCAGAGAGGTAATAGCAGTGGAGAGAGTGGTCTGTATTAGTCCTGTTTGGGGGTGGAGTGTGTCTGGGTGAGACGATAGGGAGCAAAATCCCCACAGCTTAGATGTACTAACATTTCATCTGCTGCATAATACATCGGTTCCATAAAGGGAAAACTCAGACTGACCATCCATGTATTCCTCTCCCAGATAGAAGTGTGGGGCTTGTGCTGAGCTGTCCACATAAGATGGAAGCACAGTGCCCAGACCTCAGTGCAGGAATCTAAAGCCCCTTTTCTGAATCTCAGAAGGAAGTTTAGATGCAGTATTGCAGAATTTCAAATATGAGGTGTTCTGCAACTAACTTTGCCTGCCAAGCTTTCCCCTGCCAGTGCGGAGTATTTATCTCAGTCCAAGATGTTGATGTCTCCCTGAACTTTGAATCAAGGTGAGGGGACTAACTTACTTCCATCTGTTGTCTGTCTCCCTCACAGGATGTGCCCAATTTTCCAGATTTCCAATGTCACTGGTGAGAATCTGGAGTTGCTTAAGATGTTTCTCAATCTCCTGTCTCCCCGAACAAGTTACAGGGAGGAAGAGCCAGCAGAATTTCAGATAGACGACACTTACTCTGTACCGGTAAGGGGACTGGTGCCGGGAAGGGCTCTCTGCCACATTTGAGACTGTACCGGGGTGGGGAGGTGGGCCTGCTGGAAGGGGGAATTCCAGTACTGCTCTAACAGCATAGTTGAGTGACTCCAGTTACCGGTGGTTCTCTCTCTTTTGCAGGGTGTGGGAACAGTTGTGTCTGGGACAACCTTGAGAGGCCTGATCAAGCTAAATGACACTTTGCTTCTGGGTCCAGACCCCTTGGGCAACTTCCTGACCATTGCTGTCAAGTCCATCCACCGCAAACGCATGCCTGTGAAGGAGGTGCGTGGTGGCCAGACTGCCTCCTTTGCTCTGAAAAAGGTGAGTGTGTATGTGGGGAGGGAGGAGGGGTCTGCCCTAGTTCTTGATATCAAGAGCCTTGCTTCTTCAGGATACTTTCCAATCCTGGTTAAAATGAGACTGCTTCCACCAACGCTCGAGGGCAGGGGGAGCCTTCATCTACCAGCACCATAAAGTCCCATTCCACGCCCCACTCCCTTTTCAAGAGTTGTCACCAGTCTAATAATTCTGAGCCCTTATCTTGAGCTGTGTTCTCACCAGACAATCTAAAATAGCAGGTGTGACTTGTAGGAGATCGCTCATTAAATACAAGTGTTGCAAGGAATCACTCTTGTCAGAACTGAGCTAATGTGCTAGGCCTGGTCTATACGTAGTGTTTGCACCAATTTACCTTTCAGCTAGGAGTCTGACTTTAGTTTTTTTTACTGAAAGAGTTATGTTGGTACAAGCCCTAGTGTAGGGATAATGGTGCCTCATACCAGAATAACTGCATCCATACTAGTGGTGTTGCACTGGTTTCAAACCAATATAGTAAAAACTGTGTAAACAAGCCTTTAGCATAGTGCTAGTTGGCATTGTGCTGTTGGAAGGAGTGTCTTTCTGAATGACAGGTAAATAGGATGCGTATGGCACTCTTTGCAAGTGTAGCTATATTAACCCCAGTGTCCTGCCCAAAATTCAATTTTGGGTAATCACATCCTTCTATCTACAACTTCTTCAAAAGTTTCAGCTGCAGTCATTCTTTGGAACCCCTGCATAGCATTGTTGTATGCTGCTGAACAGCTATCACATTGCATCCCAGAGGTGGCTGCATTTCAGTGGGTGTGAGTAATCATTGATCTATAAAATGCTTTGAGATCCCTCTGGATGAAAGGAGTGAAAGAAATGAACTTATTCTTTGTAGTAAGCATGATTCTTAACTCTCTTTTTGTCTTTTTTCCTGTTTCCTCCCTAGATCAAGCGTTCCTCCATCCGGAAAGGCATGGTGATGGTGTCCTGCCGGTTGAATCCACAAGCATCCTGGGAATTTGAAGCAGAGATTCTGGTGCTGCATCATCCCACCACCATCAGCCCACGTTATCAGGCCATGGGTAGGTGTAGCAGCTTTCTCTGACCCTTAGACCCCAGTTGAACAGCTCACAGTTGCAGACTTCTGCTTTAGCCTTAGGCTGCTTAATCCACCTGTGATTTCTGCTTTATCCAGGATGTAGGGCATAGTTCCTTGTATTAACTTCCCCAATTCCATTATGGGTGAGAGAGCAGATCTAGAAGAGCAAGGATTGCTGCCGGTAAGAACCAGTGTGCTTGGGAAGAGGAAAGCCTACACAGTGGCTACCAGGAGTCAGCATTGTCTGTAGCCCAGTGGTTCTCTAGCTTCATCATTTGCACAACAAACTCTGCCTGAGACACTGAGGGCAAAGAAAAACCCACAGCTGGCCCGTGCCAGTCAACTCTGGCTCGTGGAGCTCGGGCTGAGGAGCTGTTCCCTCGCTGTGTAGACTTCTAGGCTTGGGCTGGCTCTGGGATCCTCTCATCCCACAGGGTCCCAAATCCTGGGCTCCAGCTCGAGCCTGGAAGTCTACACAGTGATGGAACAGCCATGCAAGTCTGAGTTGACTGGCACGGGCCTGCTGTGGGTTTTTCTTGTCTGTGTAGACATACTCTGTTCTTCTCAATACCACGGTCCCCTGCTGCTTGGTTCTTAATGTTTCATTGCATGGGTCACCTGGAAAGCCAGTGCAGAACAGTGTGAGACCCCCTGCAGTATCCAATATTTAGCTTCGTTTCTGAGCAGCAAACAAATGCATCTGTAGCGTCAACTTCGCGCTGATTAGAATACAATAGGTTATTTTCATTCTGAACTCAAATGTGCTGTGGATAGATTAGCAGTAATGACCTTGGACTCTAATCTGAGGCTTGTTCCACTAGTAGTGGCATTGACTACTTGAGAGCCTCTGGTACGTTATCATTTACAGTGCATTGTGGCAGTATCCGCCAGACAGCCACTATCCTCAGCATGGACAAGGACTGCCTACGGACAGGGGACAAAGCTACAGTGCACTTCCGCTTCATCAAGACCCCTGAATACTTGCATATAGACCAGCGGCTGGTCTTTCGTGAGGGCCGTACCAAAGCAGTGGGTACTATCACCAAGGTAAAGGCCGAGGAGCCATACCCTTGCCATTTTGCTTTCCCAGTAAACCTTTACTCCTACAATGAGGAGACAAGTAGGGGAATCTGGGAATTGGGAGGATATAGTTTCACTATCTTAGTTGCCAATTTCAAGCAAGACTCAGGCTAGTGGCGACCAGCGTGTATTGCAGTCTGATGGCCATCTGGCCTGTGTGAAACTGACTGGGTGGGGAGGCTGGGGGTGTCTTTGTCTTCCAGAAACAGGTGTCCCCTGACATGAGACAGGCTGTGCCATAGAGACTGAACACCCCTCTCAGCCCTACATAGCATCTCCGGGGAAGCTCTGAGGCATGTTGATGGGCCAGTGTGGGCAACCGTGGGCTGATGCTTGCTATATAGTTCACTTTATGGCTAGTGGAAGTAATTCTCTAAGCACTCCTCACTTTCAAGAAACCCTGAAGTTTTGAACCTTGCTTGGCTGGCCCTGCCATTTTAATGCTGTGTATTCTTCCATCTGTAACCGGCAGTTACTCCAGACCACCAACAACTCTCCAATGAACTCCAAGCCCCAGCAGATCAAGATGCAGTCAACAAAAAAGGGACCCCTTACGAAACGAGAGGATGGTGTGCCCCAGAGTGGGACAGCAGCTGCGGGGGCCCTGGTGGGGGATGATGCCACCTCATCCGGAGCAACACCAGCAGTACCTTCTAGTGCCCTGCAAGCACAGGTTAGCAAAAGACATATAAGTATCTTCTGGCTAATCACATTCTCCTTCCTGCCAGCTGATTGTCTCAGCCTCATAAAACATCTGCATTGCTCCCCCTTCTTGAGACTGTTCACTTGGCAATGACAAATTATATGGGTACAGCCGGCAGTACCCCAGCAAGGAACTAGACCCCCTGATAACTGAGAAAATCCTGACAGCTGATTGATGGCAGCTTGTCCTCTCAATGGAACATTTGTATTCAGGCAGTGCAGTGCCTAGGAGCCCTTGTTGTAGGCCAGAGCCCCGTTGTGCTAGGCGCTGTGCAAACACATAGCACCTGCCACAATGAGCTCACAGCCCAAGTAAGGGCATTAGGCCAGCTGTCACTTCCCTTTGATCAAATCACACTTAGACCACAGAGCCTGGCTTGGAAAGAGACAGCGTTCTTTCCCTCAGTTCACGTCTCTGTATGCCTTTCTGTCTCCTCTTCGCTGCGGTGTCACTGTGGATAAAGGGCTGCACTCCCAGCCTCTTATGCTTGCTCTGTATTTTTGCCCTGTCCCTTGGGTGTTTGTGTGGCTGTGCTCTTGCTCATCTCTGCTTCTCTCTTCCTGCTGCTTTCCTTCAGACTGCACTGGATGAAGAGCCCCACAACCGAGAGGGCAATAAGGTATTTTTGCACCCTGACAGCTGATTTGAGATAACAAGTGGGCTTGCTGGCCTGAGTCTGGGAACAGAGTCATGTCAGCAAAACAATCGTGGAGGCTTTCTACTTCCATCACGCACAATATGGAAACCTAGGCCCTGGATTTCTGAGATTCTGAGCACCTTCAGCTTCCATTGACTTCATAGGAGTTAAGTGTTCAGAGCTTCTGTAAATTGGGTCCCCAGAAGACTAGAACTAAAGTTTACCAGCTTCTGCTTGTCTCCTTGCTACCTGCAATAGTAGGAGACTGATCATGTGAGAGGTGCTCCCCTGATGCCCTAGCAGTGAGAGTGCAGGTAGAACACTTGCCTCAGTTCTGTGTTTGTCACTTTGATTTTTTTGGGGTCATCACAAACTAAAATTCCCCTTCTTGTTTTCCAGTCGAAGGTTGGAGGAGGAGGCCGGCGACGTGGGGGCCAACGCCATAAAGTGAAGTCTCAGGGGGCTTGTGTGACTCCCGCCAGTGGCTGCTGAATATCTTTTTTTCCCCCACCCTCTGAGGAATTCTCCCCCTCCCTCCATTTCTTAGCCAAGACGTCCAGAGCAGCTTAAACCAAAACCCATCCAGCTGATCTGCTGCAGAAGAACCATCCCTCCCAAGGAATGACAGAGGGGTTGTAACTTATAATAAGCTAATGAAGGTGACAAGACTCGTGGAACTGATCAACTGACACCTTCCTACTCCCTCTACCCCAACACACTTTTGTACAACCTGGGCTCTTAGTCTTTATTATATTATGTGTGCATGAAGATGAGAGGAAAATCCAGATATATTGGAGAAGAGCCATTTGGCTGCTTCCCTTTCCCCATCTGGTCCTGTCTGTTTAACCTTCTACACTGTCCCCAGTCCATTGGCATTAGAAGACCTGAAATTCCAGGGTTAAAATGTGCTGAATGGTGGGTGGTTATAGGGGGCAGCAATTCCTCACTCTCCGGAAAGGTGCCAAATGAGTTCTGGACTCTCCCTGTCTTAAACTGTTTTTAAATGGGTTAATTTTAATGTGGCAGTGACTGCAATTTGGAGGGGGATGCAGAAAACTGAACAGATGGACCTTAAAGAGGAAGGTGAATTCAAGAGAGATCCTTGACCTTAAATAGGTATGTTTAAATTTTTTTTCTTAATACTTCTCCCTCTCCTCCCTAAATATAAGGCCAATAGCTGTTACAACTTTAATCAGAGGTGGGATTAAGTACAGAGGTTACTTGCCCATCTCATCCTCCTTCCTCTTCTAACCTCTGTTCAATGCATGCTGGAACAACTCTTACCCACCCCTCAAGGTCCTGGCGGCAGAGTGACATAGTGAGAATGTTTCCAGACTGCTCTGTGGTGCAGGAACACTGTGTAGCCTGTGACCAGCATAAGTCTCCCCTGTGACTAGACAGTGATCACAAGTGGGATAGCCTTTTTGGGCCTGGAGACTGAAAACAAATGCCACCCTCATTTGACTTTGCCTGCTCCAAGTGCTCCCTTCTCTCCTGGAACTCTCAGGCCAAGCTTTGCTATGGCAGTGGTAACAGTGGTCAGTCCCACTCTTTGCAGAAGGGGGAAGTGATTAGTTGATACCAACCTTAGGGAAGCACTTTCAGCCTGGGAAGCCCATGGAGATTTTATCTC